GACAGAGATATTTACAACAGCACAATGAGCAAAATAGGTAGAGAAATGGACTTTCAGCACTGTTGATGGGGGTACATAGCCTATTGTAGATCAATCTGGCACCATATAGTAAAATTGAGCAACTGTATGACCTATGACCTATGAAAGATCTTATCTCTAGAAATATATCTCAAAGAAATTCTCGCACATTTGGTAACAGGGAGTGTAAATGCTCATGTTCTTAACACTGGGAATGCTGAGGAAATAAATTCATGTGTCGGACTCGAGGGTGGGGACTGGATACTTAAAAAGCAAATATTGTGGAATTCTGTGGGACAATAATGAAAAAGAAACCACATATAGACTGGAAAGTGCTGTGTTCTCACAGCAGAGCTGACTCAATGGGTATGTCACATACGCAAAGCGCAGGACCCTGTGTTCGGAAGGTTCTCATACTGTTCACTACTCTGCTGCCTGTATCTTGAAATTCTTCATCATTTTTAAACGTGGGGTCCTGTACTGTCATCTTGCACTGGCTCTCACGTAGTCTGCAGTCAGCCCTGTTCATAAGAATAGTAGTGTAAAGTAGGAAACAGGATGAGATTTATTACAAAATACCACACGGCAAGGTTGTTTACTATATTCTTTATAATGATAAGTGACAGTGACGGATTGGGGTATAATGCAGGTCAAATGTGTGGGAGTGGGGATCAGAGACAAAGGTTAAAGTTAAAGAAGAATAAACAAAACCACAAAGGCCTCTTACATGGATGAATAACTCATTCGGTGTAAGTGTCCAAACAACAGTGATTTGGATTTCCTTTGGGTGAAGGATACCCTGCGGAAAACTTGGTATGATGGTTCAATATCAACTATGCAATGCTTGAAAACTTCACCTTTCCACTTCTTTTTGCCCAAGAGTATCTGATTTTCTAGCATAGACTAGATTCCAGTTGTTTCTGTATTGCCAGCACATGGACCACCTTTCCAGTGGGCCTTGTTTTCCTTTTCAAGCCTCAAAATGGCATGTGCCAGTGGAACGTATTACAGCGTAAGTGGAATTGCCTATTGAAAGCACAGAGATGTAAGACTTTTCTAATAAAGCAAATCATCTACAACCATTTTAATTAACTGTCGAAACTAGTATAGTAATAGAAGCAAAGCCACTGCCAGCTGCGATTTTGAATCGAGTCCAGTCTAATTACTAACCGACACGATCCGAAGAGAACTGGGCAGTATTGAAATCAGCTTCATGCCACTAAGTCCTGACTTCCAACATGCAAGTTCTATTGTTGTTTGTGTTTTCTCTAAAAGATTTATCTATCTATCTATCTATCTATCTATCTATCTATCTATCTATCATCTATCTATCTATCTATCTATTTGAGAGAGAGAGAGAGAGAGAGAGACAGAAAATGCCAGCACGGGTTGGAGGGAAGGACAGAAGGAGAGAGAGGATCTTCAAGCAGACTTCTCATTGAGTGCAGAGCCCAACGTGGGGCTCGATCCCACGACCCTGAGATCACAACCTGAGCCTAACCCGAGAGCGGGCTGCTTAACCCCTGAGCCACCCAGCTTCTCCCATCAGTGTGTCTGACCCATATCCGAGCTCTGTGGCCGCAGACAGGCCGGAAGCAACTGTGACCGTTCAGGGGCTGTTTCGGGAATAGTCCTCCTCTGCTCAGGTGACTTGTAAGAGTGTCAAAGCGTAGTGTTTGCATCGTTTTAGATGTTTGCTTGGTTTAATGGCGTCCCATCAGACCTGCACCCCCATAATTGTGAAAACAGAAAGCAGGACTCCGAGCAGGTGTATGGTGCCCTGCAGGTTGGGTGCCACCAGGACCCTCCCAGGGCAGGCACAGGAGCTGCCTCTGCCTCAGGGAAGACACTGCGGAGCTCAAGTCCCTCTTCTGCTTTCACTGGCTGGACATCTTGGAGGAGACGCTGTGTTTCTAGGTCGCTGTTGAAAGAATTGGAGACACTTTCTGTTTCCCACCTGTCATGCTACTCAACGTCCATAAGAAGGTAGGGGAAGTTTAGGAAAGCCAAAACAGGACCTCGAATGGGGACCTGGATGACCTTACAGGCGTCACAACTGATGGTACAGGGGGAGTGAGGCCGGTAGGACCGGGTCATGGCATCCATCGTTGGGTGGAACTCTTTTCTGGATGGACAGTGTGTGTTCTGCCGAGAAGCTTCCAATGCATCTGACCCTTGAGGCACAGAACCCAGGGACCGGCTTGGCAGGCACAAGGTTTTAGTCCGTTAATACTTCTTTTTTCATCCCCGGCTAGGAACTCACCTGGCAGGGTTGCCTGGGCGGCATCCCTCATATTTGAAGCCATGACTAATCTGCCTTGCGTTGAGAAGTTTCTGGTTGCAACATCTCCCGGGCTGTCTGGAGCAGAGCGTGTTCTCCTGGCAACTGCTTCTGGTCGGAGCTGGAATCAATTGGAAACTCTCAGGGCTCGAAGACGGCAGATGCACACACACCCCACAGCCCGCGGCATAGCCAGACACTTCGGGGACCAGGTAATGACCTGCTGGGCCAGGGATCTACTTGCAGGGCCCGGGTCCTGGCATTCAATGAGACATGGGAAACATTTGGAGGTGCAGGAACTTCACGTGTTGGTAAGGGTCTCGTCGTCGTTGGCGCTACCTCGTGGAGCCAAAGACAGCGAGAGACTCATGTGGCCACCGAGCAGCTCTGGTGCAGTTTTCCTCAGAGAAGGTCAGAGTGAGGTTCCGAAAGCTGCAGCCTTTAGGAAGCAGACCCAGCCTGAGTGTCCTCACAGGAGGTGTGTAAGTGCACACCTGGGAAAGGTCAGTGGCAGATCCTGGGGATGTACGAGATCATCCCCTTGAACTATCCATCTAGGGCTTTGGGAAATACTGTCTGGGTGATGTCTTAAAAACCCTTTGGAATATTCAAAAAGCCTTTTATTGTCCCATTCCAATGGCCTTACACGTGATTATTCCTTCTCACGAGCAGGGTCATCTGCGGGGGAGTGTGGGGCCAAGTGATTGGCTGGCATCGCCGTACTAAGCGACATTCCTGCTTATGGGAATTATGAGCATCTTCCAATAGTTCGTGGGGACATGTCATTCTCCTTTCCTGCTGCTTTTTAATGAATAGTCTCACTAGGTGAGGAGTGAAAAGGTGGTTCCTACTGATGCGGTTATAAGACTACGGCGCACCCCCTGCCCTCACAATTGCAGGCCTGCGAGGACACCAGGGCCGTGAGCGTGGGTCGGCCTCGGGGACTCAGGTTCCACAGGCATTGAGGGCAAAAGTGGCCATCCTCTTGGTCTACCTGCCAAAGCCACGTGTTTATTTTCTCGCTCATACAATAGACTTATCTATTATTTTCTGGTTTCAGAAACAAGGAAGTTGTTATAAGACTTTCATGTTTGGGAAAAGATAGCTGCTCAAATATAGAGTCACTGGAGCCCACGTAACGCTTCAGACCAGAATTCTGATACTGCACGGAACTAAGTGTGGGGCTGGGACTGTGGTGCCCAAGGAGTCGCTTTAGCTCAACTAGCTCGAACCATCTTCGCCGACCTCTTCCGTGTCTCTTTGACTCCGTAAAATAATCCAGATCTCCTTACGACTTCTCCTTTGTTGTCTGTCTTACTTTTTTTTTTTTTTTTAATTTTGAAGCAACAGCCTTCCAGAGTTCAAGGGCCTGGTCCTTAACGTCTTAGAAGAGCCGTGAAAATACGATGCCCTCTAGTGTTGGCTGCTTTTCCTTTTCTCCCTTGACCATTGCATTCCCCTTGCAGCCTGCAAATCTTTTTTGTGGGGGTTCCCCTGGGCTTGGCACCCACTCTTGGCCTCTCAGCTCCCCCACCCCCACCCCCTGCAGGTCCTGTCAAAGCTGCTAGAGTCCTTCTGCCCTTGACGCAAAGAATCCCAGATTTGCGGGCCTGGGCGTCGGGTGGTGTAATGATTTCCTCCCATTCACTTGTTGATGACAGTGTCCTCACTCTTCCCGATTCCTTCTTTCACCCTGTGGGTGGAGGAATTCAGAAAACAGAGAACTGCGTTAGATCCAGATTCTGACTCGCCTGGCTACCCAGGGTGTCTCATCTTGTGAGTCACACCTCTTCAGGAAGAGATAAGAATGTCAGAGCTTCATGAAGGATGCAGAGGGAAGGACGACGAGACAATTTAAATTTTCGTGAACACCCCAACTGGTTTGGGAGGGATTATGTCAGATAGACAGGGGAAACATGGCGAACACCAGAATGTCTTCCTTGACGGACAAGTCTTCTGGGGAACACAGGCATTGGCATCACTGCCCAGACTCCTGTAGTAAACTAGAAGGGGGGCGGGGGGTAAGGGGCTGTGGATACGGTTACTACAAACTAGAAATACTAAACCTTGTGAACTTTGCCCCAGAAGAAGACTTCTAGGGAAGCAGGACAGCGAGGTTCTTGTCTCATGGAGTCGAAGGATGAATCTCTGTGACAACGGAGAGCAAGCAAAGTGGTTGGGTTTTCTTAAGCAAGGACACAGAGAGAGCCCTCAGGAGGCAGTGGAGTCCCAACAGGGTGGCCCACGTGGGTCCCCACCCACAGTCTTTGACTGAGAACTGACCAGGGAGCCTGTGGCCTTATCAGTCTTGTGATGTGTTGGTTTGAGCGAGGACTGGCGAGAACGTCTTTAATGGCTTCCTTCTTCTTTGGGGCCTGGTCACAATGTGAGTGCCATAAAGGGGTACCCCCCGGCCCCCCACTGATGCCCAGGGCAGGGTGATCTGGTTTTGTTATACCTCAGTATTTCTGTGAGCCTGGCCATGTAGCCCCCTACCTGTCTCTCCCTACCCCGCCCTGCCTGCCCCTCACTCAGTGAGACCCTTTGGATCTATATCGGTGGGTCATACACTTGGGAGATGATTGCCAACATATATCTTGGGGGATAGAGATAAGGGAAGTTTCCAAAGGTTTGTTTGTTTATTTATTTATTTATTTATTTATTTATTTATTTATTTATTTATTCATGAGAGACGCAGAGAGAGGCAGAGACACAGGCAGAGGGAGAAGCAGGCTCCATGCAGGGAGCCCAACACAGGACTCTATCCCAGGACCCCGGGGTCACGCCCTGGGCCAAAGGCAGCCGCTCAACCGCTGAGCCACCCGGGCGTCGCTCAACCGCTGAGCCACCCGGGCGTCCCTCCAAAGGTATTTTTATATATTAAAGTAGACCTACAGGCTCCTGGGGGTCTGGCTGAGATTGCCTCCTGCGCTTAGTAAAGTATCAACATCCAGGCAGTTGAGTCCCTAGAGGAAGGTCCCTCTGCCTGTTTCAAGCACTTGTCAGTGGGCTCTAAGTGGTGAGGAAGTTTAATAACTTCCCTTCTGCCTTTGTTTCCACATCATTAGGGCATTTACTCAGAGGTCATCGGGTTTAAATTTATACCTAATTATTTTTAAATGTCTTAAGTATATTCTTATTATAAGAGTAATTCAACCTAATAAAGTTATTGAAGAAAATGTATAACCAATAAAAGCAAAAAGAGAAGTTTTTATCCCTAGAATCCAAATATAATCATTATCATTTTGGAGTAAACCTCCCAGTCTTTTGGAAGATCATACTTTTTTAGTTTATTTCCTTGAGGTATTTTAAATATATATATTTTTAAATGTGTCTGTAAGTTGCTTAAAAATAGTTTCTGCCTCTATCCCCCCAGACAAATTGTGCAAAACTCCATAACTCTGCACACATTTTTAGGCTGACATACAAAATTTTTATAATTTTGAATAGTTGTAAGGATGCACCTTAAGACATATTGTAAATATTGATAGCTTAAATTAAAATTATTACACAATTTTAAAAAATGTCCAATAGAATAGTGATTTGATTTGAAACCTAAGATCATCCACTGGAAAAAAATCTCTTATGGAATGGATTAAAAAATTATATTGTTTGTTTATTCCTTGAATTCATATTCCCATTGCACTTATTTTTCTACAGGTGTTTTATGTATTTCCATAAATATATGTATCCTAATGTATTTGTATGCTTGAAGAGTCTTTTATTGATCAATTGACCCTTCTTCTCTGCAACTAAAACAGTAGATGTGCATTGAAATTTAAGTCATTTTCAAGTTATAATCATAAAGTTGCATTTTCTTTTAATTTTTTAGGGACTTGCCATTGTAATTTTTATTAGTATATAATTGGTCAAAGGATCATAAATATATTAAAGGTTTAATGAATGATTATGAGGCATTAAAACCAAATTTTTTAGCAGTGAATCTCTTAATGAAAAGAATGGAACTTCTCTTTGTAATTCATACACCCAATTGTTATTATTTATTGACAGATAAAACAAAATTAAGCTTCAGTTGTTTTCCATTTATTAAACAGATGTAAGTGCTGAAAAACCATGCTTATTTCATGCTGTTCAGAATTATTTCTGAAGTTCAGTGCTACAAATTACATAGCAATGCATCCACAAAACTTATTTTTAGTGCTCTACCTCCAAACAACTGAAGGAGATTCTTTTCCAATCTTTTGAAAGCAAAGAATTAAAACCCAACACATTTGCAGAGGTGACTCACTCTTGGGAAAGGACTGCTACCCCAATCCCAATCCCAATGTTGTGGGGTGTTCCTCTGTGCTATTCACCATGCTAAGATTCAGGAGATGGGAGAGGTCAACCTTCCCTTTGAAGAGTTGAAAAAGGAGAACCAGCTTGAAGTCATAAATTCTTAAGTTGTATTAGTTTTAGGAAAGAATATATATAAGAGACAAATATCTATAATCTGATTTTTTAAAAGCGATTTATATGCCTGTGTATTTCTTGGAGAGTTGTTGCATACCCTGGAGTAAATACCATTGGTATCACAATTCTTCCTCCTGACATTTTTTCCCCACTTGATGTAATACCCTAAGAGTGTTTTCATGAACATTTTAATGGCTTTCTCTACGATATTTAATTAATCATCTGATATATTTAATTAACATACATTGTATTAAACACCGCTTTACAACTGAACCTCTGTTTTTAAGTTTTATTTATTTCAAATAACAAGCATGAAAGCAACTTTGTACAGAGAGATCCCCCACTCCCCTCCCATGTTCCAAGTGAAAAACATACTCCCTTGGTATCCATTTATTAAGTGGAACCTCTGAGACTTAAGATATGAATGGTCGTAAGAAGTCCTGGTAAATGTAGCAATGCTATTTACCAACTGAATTGCACTAATTTATGCCAGAACTAGTAATCATTGAGAACACCTGCTTTGCAACATAGTTTCCAGTTTCTTTTTAATCATGTTGTAATTATATACAATAAAAATGCACAAATCTTAAGGGTGCAATTCGGTGAGTCTCAACAATCAATCCCGGTCAAGGCCGAGAGTACTGCTATCACCCAGAAGCTCTTGTACTTTTCCAGTCAATGCCACCACAATACATTTATTTTATCTGTTCTTTTCCCCCCCTAAGATTTTGTTTTTACGTCATCTCTACACCCAACGTGGGGCTTGAACTCACAACCCTGAGATCAAGAGTTGCATGCTCTGCCAACTGAGCCAGCCAGGAGCTGCTCATTTTACCTGTCCTTGATCTTCATAGAAAAAGAACTACCAAGTAAGTATTCTTTTGTGTTTGGCTTCTTTCACTCAGCAAAACGTTTGCAAGATTGATCTATGCCGTGCGTGTCAATGGGTTCCATTGTATATGACACAACTGTGTATCCCTTCTATTATTGATGGACTTCAGGGTTATTTTCAATAATGTACTATCATGAATAGAGCTTCAAGGAACAAGTTTGCAAACAAGTCTTTATATAGACTTGTATTTTCTTTTATTTTGAGCAAACTAGCTAAAAAATGGGTTTTTAAAAAATTGCCAGTTTCTCACAGTTGTAATATTATAAACTCCCATCAGCAAAGTATGAGAAAGCCAGTTGTTCCTCCTTCTCTCCAATATTTACTATTATTGGCTTGTTTGTTTATTTACAAAGTTTTATTTATTTGAAGAGGGAGAAGGGCAGAAGGAGAGGGAGAGAGAGAATCTCAAGCAGACTCCACACCTAGGGTAGAGCCCAGTGTGGAGCCTGATCCCAGGACCCTGAGATCATGACCTGAGCCAAAACCAAGAGCTGGATGCTTAACCGACTGAACCACTCAGGCGCCCCACTGGTCTAACATCAGCCAATCTAGCGGGTGTGAAGTAGTCGCTTGCACTTTTCTAATGACTAACACTATTGGACATCTTTCCGTGTGTTTATCAGTCCTTCATATATCCTTTTGTGAAGTGACTGTCCAAGTATTTTGCTAATTTTAAATTTAATTCTATTTCTTATTACTACTTATATCTTGAAAAATCCTAGACATAAGTGCTTTACCAGATATTGATGAAAGTGTTTTCCTATTGTCTGTGATTTGCCTTCTTATTTTCTTAATGGTGTTGTTGATGGCCAGAAGCTCATTTTAATAAAGCCTTGTTCATAATGTTTTTCCTTTTATAGCTAGTGGTCTATTTCAAATTCATAAAGATATTTTCTTCTGTCTTCTAAGGGCTTTATAGTTTAATTTTTACTTTTAGATTTGTAATGCATCTCAAGTATATTTTTATGCCTGGTTAGAGAAATGTAGCAAAGTTGGGTATTTTTTCCCCAAAATTGATATTCAGTTATTCTGGTAAAATAATTATTGAAAAGATTTTTCTTTTCTCATTGAACTGCACTAGAGCATATGTCAAAATTTGTTAGATCACATGTAATTTAGTCTGTTCCTGTACTCTAATCTTTTAATGGATCTTTCTCAATCCTTTTGCCAGTACCACATTGCCTTGATTACAGTGGTTACATAGCAAATTCTTGAAATCTTACAATATAGGTCCTCCAATTTCGTTATTCTTTCTAAAACTAGCTTGAGCTATCATATGGTCTTTATATTTCTATATAAATTTTAAAAGCATCTTGTCAGGGATGCCTGGCGGGGCTCAGTTGTTGAGTGCCTGCATTCGGTTCAGGGCATGATCCCAGGGTCCTGGGATTGAGTTCCCATTGGGCTCCCCACAGGAAGCCCTATTCTCCCTCTGCCTGGGTCTCTGCCTCTCTCTGTGTCTCTCAGGAATAAATTTAAAAAAACTTTCTTTATTTTTAAGAAAGCAGATTGTCATTTTTTATTAAGAAGTCTGCAGGAATTGTCCCTGGAACTTAATCCATATATAGTTCAATTTGGGAACTACTGCTTAGCAATATGGAGTCTTTTATATATAAAGTAGGTGACTTCTCTCCATTTATTTAGGTTTCTCAAAGCTTTGCAATTTTTAGTGTGAAGATCTTGCCTTTTTTTCAAATTGTTACTTATTAGTTTTGTTTTTATGCCATTTAATTCATATTTTAAAATTTTTATTTTCTAAGCATATTTTTGTTAGCATATTTTTTATATTGACCTTGTGTGCTGATACTTTTCTGCATTTACTCATTAGATCTAATTTTTGTTCACATTAGTTAGCATTTTCTAAATACATTATTATGTCATCTGCAGACGTAGTTCCACTTCTACTTTCCCATCTTTATGCTTTTCTGTTTTGTTTTTCATTTTCATTTTTTACTCTATTTTATTTAATATCACCTGCTGCATCATGCTGAAGAGAAGTGATACGAGCAGATATCCTGTCTTTTGTCCCATTCTTAAAGTGAAAGTATTGAGTATTTTACTGTTGATTATAATAATCACAGCTGGAAATTTTTCCCTTTTTTTAAGATTTTTATTTATTTATTCATGAGAGACACAGAGAGAGAGGCAGAGACACAGGCAGAGGCAGAAGCAGGCTCCATGCAGGGAGCCCGATGTGGGACTCGAACCCAAGAATCCGGGATCACGCCCTGAGCCAAAGGCAGGCGCTCAACTGCTGAGCCACTCAGGCGTCCCTGGAGAATTTTTCATAAGAGTCTTTCAACTAATTGAGAAATTTCTATTTCTACTTTTGGTTAGGAAGAGGAGTTGAGTTTTGTCAAATATATTTTCCAGTTTTGAAACTGATCTTTTATTTTCTAATTTGATTAATTTCCATATTCTTCTAATAATCTTGGCTACTGAGGAGCCATCCAGAAGGTTAAGAACAATTTATCAGGAAGGAAAGTACTCCAGCTGAGCCTCTTTCAGTTAAAATAATTTTCTTTTGTCACTTTTTAACTAGATGGGAAATATACATTTCAGTAATATTTTCAACTAAAAGAGTTAAAACCAGCAATAACAACAATTTAAAAAGCAAGTGATTTGCATTTACCTCTTTACCAATCTCATGTTATTTAGCAAATCCATATCGTGGACCTACCAGGTGCCAAGTATTAATGGCCTGAATTCCTGTAAATAGTGAACAGATAAAGTACTTGCTGTAAATACATCATAGCTTGCTCAGAATAATCCTTGATTATGCCAGACAGTGTATTTTTATTATTCCAGACCCCACACTGTGAGTAATTTGAGCTAAAGTTTGTTTTCCTCTTCTCATTAACCACAGCACCTGTTCAGCCTAATTACAGCCTTGGCAGGGATCTAAATCTGATTTACCTGTGCAGTTTCCACTTCTGTTTATTTGCCTCAGAAAAGTCCTCTTTAAAAGCCCTTTATTTTTTTAAGATTTATTTATTTGTTTGTTTGTTTGTTTGTTTAATCTTAGAGAGAGGAGAGAGAGAGAGAAAGAGAATCCTCAAGTAAACTTCCTGCTAAGCCCGATGCAGGGCTCCATTCACAGCCCTGAGATCATGACCTGAGCCAGAATGAAGAGTAAGACACTTACCAACTGAGCTACCCAGGTGCCCCTAAGAGCCCTTTAAAACCTAACTGCTGGTGTGATTCTTCCTGCTACAGTGGGAAGGAGGGTGGAAGAGAGGACGAGAATGATGTAGGGAGAAGGAAAAAGGAGGATGAAAAGAGAGGGAAGGCAGGAGGGAAGGAGGAAGAGACAGAGAGGGAAAAAGCAGACCCTTTGGAGTGGTGCACATCAATGATCAATAATTTCTCCTTCTCTTGAACAAAGAATTTCATCCCATTTTTTACCACAGGGCCAGGATGAGGAAGTCACAAGGTGACCAACTTCTTTTGAAGTCAATTTTTCGCTTGTATCTTTTTATATTAAATGACTGAAAATTCTATGAAATGTGGTCTTGCCAATAGTCGTGAAATGAACTGATCCAAGGAATGCTCCAGCACAGGGTAGTGATGGACTGTAGGACCCACTAATAAAATTGTTTTCTGGATTAAATAAGTTAATTCATATAAACTGCTTTGAAAAGTTCCTGGTCCAAAGTTATTTTCAAAAATTATTATTACACAGGAAGCATACTAAAAATGAGAGTGGGACACCTGGGGGGCTCAGAATGACCAACTCTTGATTTTGGCTTGGGTCAAGATCTCAGGGTTTTATGATTTCTCTATAAAGATTATATCTGAAAGAGAAATCAGTTTGAATGATATAAGAGCACATGCAGATGGCATGAGCTTGGCTCTGTGACCCGTCAGTTGAGTTAGAATCTAACAATATTATCAGGCATCTAATATATGCCAAATATCATCAGTTCTCTTTCAAAAACAAAGCCTGGAAATCTGCCCTTAAAATGAGGACTGAGAGGTGAAACACAAAGCAGAGTGCCAAGATATTTTCTTGTTGAACAGTTAAGTGAAATGTCAGCCAAGAAGCAAAACAAAAGAGCAAATTGAGCTGATGCTCTGGAGGAGTGTTGGGTTATTTCTACAGGCGTTGTAATTCAGATTTCCTTTGAAAAGGCTGACAATTCAAGCTTTTCCCAATTACTACTGAACTATGTACTATTCATCTTTGGAATGTTTATGAAGGAAGGCTACGACAGGCAGCTTGCTGTGTAATTTAAGAGACAACAGAAATTAAGCCATTGGGAAATGATGTCATCTTCAAATTTGTTAGAAGAAGATTTCAGAGCAAAGGGCAGTCAGAGAATGACTCAAAAGAGTTGAACCAGGCAAGAGGGAGAGTCCGGAGAGATGAAAGTAGGGACATTGCAGGCGTGGGGAACAAGGACACAGAGAAATAGGGACTAAATCTGTCTAGTGACGTGTGTCTCCAAGTGTGAATTTGGAGCCACCTGCACGGAGAACCACCTGGGGGCACTAATTGAAAATGCAGTTCTTAAAAAAATAAGTAAAGAAAAATGCAGCTCTTGAGTCTCTGCTTTACCTTAAAATCAGACTCTCTGGGAGACAGGGTTGAAGACCCAGTATTTGAGATTCTGAGGTTTGAGAAAGCGAGTGGAGGGCACCAACAGGGCCCGGATATTGGCCACTGTGGTTGCTGCTTCTTTTTGTTCTCAACACTTCATTGAGGTATGGCTTGTATATTGTAATGGGATTCCGTGTTGTAAAAGTGCAAGGCACGAGCCCTGACGAATAAAACCATGTAACTGTCATAAGACCAGTCTTTTTTTTTTAAGGTTTATTTATTTATTTGAGAGAGAAAGAGAAAGGGGGGGGCTCATGCATAAGCATAGGGGACGGGGAGAGAAGGAGTGAGAATTAGACTCCGCACTGAGCAGGGCTCGACCCCAGGACCCTAAGATCATGACCTGAGCAAAAGGCAGATGCTTCACCGCCTGAGCC